GAATACTCAAGAGCAATTCAAATGCAAAATCGTCTCACAGGCAGTCGCTAATTTTACCCGAATTGTTAGGAATATGCAGCCCATATTAATTATTGTTTAAATATTCCATATTCGATTTACCGCCTAAAAGTATGCTCATAAATTTATGCTTCTTAAACTCCCGTCAATAGCATTACTATATAGCACACAGAAATATACTCAAGATATTTTTATACCCTCCACCATAGTATGGAGGTAAGTTTGTCATTCCATTTCTAAAACCTCGAAATATACATTTTAGACCCCACAAAGTACATACTTGATCAGCATAAAATAGTATGTCGATTTATCAGTGTCCGTCCGTCTGTCTGTCTATCCGTCGGTGGAAATCACTCTAGCTTCCGAACGAAATGAAGTAGGTTCATAAAATTTTACTCAAATGTGTGTTATGTCTGCAAGACATTATATAAAATGAGCCATGTAGCTCTACGTCTTCGTATAGCCCCCATATAACGGTACCTCCCGATATTCGGTATTTTGATGATTTTAGCGACATTATTTACCGGAATTGTTTCAATTTTAGTATTTGAAGTTCGTAATAGATACTACAACATAAAACAGAAAATGAGCCATGTAGGTCCACGTCTTCGAATAGCCCCCATATTACGGTACCTCCCGATATTCGGTATTTTGATGATTTTAGCGACATTATTTACCGGAATTGTTTCAAATTTGGTATTTGAAGTTCGTAATGGATACTACAGCCTAAGACAGAAAATTGTCTGTACAGGTCCACGTCTTCGTATAGCCCACATATAACGATATTCGGTACTTTGATGATTTTAGCGGCATTATTCACCGGAATTGTTTCAAATTACGTATTTAGAGTTCGTAATGGAAACTACAGTCTGTGACAGAAAATTGTCTATGCAAGTCCAGGTCTTCGTTTAGGCCTCATATATCACTACCTCCCTATATTCGGTATTTTGACGAGTTTAGGTACAATACCCACCGAAATTGTTTAAGATGTCGTATTTAAAGTTCGTAATGGATGCTAAAGCCTGTGACAGAAAATTGTCTATGCTGGTTCAGGTCTTCGCACAGCTCCGATATAACGGTACGTCCCTATATACGAGATTTTGCTGATTTTAGCTATATTATTAACCGTTTATTTCAAATTTCGAATTTTAATATGGTAATGGCTTATAACAAACAATGCCTATGTAGGTCCACGTCGTATAGACCCCAATATAAAGGCTATATTCGATTTTTTTTTTAAATTTTAACAGAATTTTTTAGGGATTTTATTTTTTGAAAATTTCCAAATTAGTTCCAAATGGTGGAGGGTATTCAAAGTTCGCCCCAGCCAAACTTACTGCTTTTTAATTTGTTTTTTTTTTAATTTACTTTTGGTATCCGTATCGACTAATCAAGTACAATTGCCTCATATTTGATCTTCCGCTGTTAGAAATATTAATTCCACCCATTTTGATAAGGATTAGGAACCCCATATTTGTTACTACTTAATGATTCAAATTCCGGCCTAAAAGTATGCTCATCAATTTACACTTTCTTCAAATAGCTGCTCACAGCAATATCTGACAGAGACTGAAATATAGGGAATAGTACCAAAGATATTATTTTTGCTTATTAGAAATGATTCAAAGATGAGTTTTCAAATAGCTTGCGGATCTCCCTTACTCGATCCAAAAGTGAGCCGCGGGCAAATTTAAATTGATTTTGAATTAAACCCCAATCATCGAGTAATTCATCACCACATCAAAATCAAAATCAAAACATCAAAAATTTTTTTAAATAAATTTTATGGTAACCTTGTCCACAGAAAGACTTCAATGCAAATATCGACCATCATTGCAACTTCCATATATTCAAATCTTTTAAAATAATTTCAAACAGTTTCCAAAAAATGAATTGTGGTTCGTTTTGCTTTTGGATCTTAATCTACTGCGCATGACTGCTATATATAGGTCTCCGACATAGAATATGGATAAAAGCCTTTCAAAAGCTTAATTGTATTATTGAACCAAAAAAAGCTTAGGGGAAATAAAAGCTCCTAAATTTGGAATAATGTTGACCAAAGCTTTAGCTAAGACAAGAGCCTGACAAAAGCTCTCTAAAATGTTGCCAGTGCACAAATTGGAATAAAATTAGTTGAAAGGCCTTGCCAACATTGAAAAAAATTTGTAAAAGGCCCAAAGGAAATTTCTTAAGTGCAAAGGACGTCCAAATTATTCCTCTGTTCCAGAACCTGCAAGAAACTACTATTTTTTAAGTTTTTTCGAAATCATAAAGGAAAATCCTTTATTGTAGAAAACATTTTTACATTCTTGCAGTTCTATCATACCTTAGAAAACTTCTTACATGTTTTCAGTGTTTGAAGATGTATTTAAAGGTCTTTTTCCATAGACCCATATTTTAAAGGTTTTCGATCCATGGAATGCCTTGCAAAGGCCTCATATTTAAACGAGCCTTTGAAGGTGTACCTTAAATGGAGCTCTTGAAGTTCCTCTATCTATTGAAGACCCATTAAGAGTCTACGGGGTCTTATATTTATATAAGAGCATTTGAAGGTCCCTTATCCATGAAAGGCATCTTAAATGTCTTGTGTCCTAAAATTGGTCTTTAAGGACTTTCAAATGAAAATACCCTGTCGAAATTGCCCATGGAAGGCATTTTATCCATGGAGAGTATTTTAAATGTCTTGCGTCCATAGAAGTCGTCTGAAAGGACTTTCCAATGAAAAGACTGTCGAAATTGGGCGGATGATTTCTTGAAGGTCCTAAATTTTAAGAACAGAACAAATTTTTGAAGGTTTTCTCTTAATGGAGCTTTATGACCATCTACCAAAATTAGACCTCTGAACGGGTTTCTGAATTTACACTACCTCTCATAGCTCTTGCATCTCCAGGAAACCGTTTGAAAAGTCCTAATTCATCCAATGAACTTTTAAGGGTTCATAATTCACCTTTGCAGGGTGTCAATGGTGTCTTTCATTGATTGAGAGTCTACAAGAGTTTTATATCTACCAATATAAGATCTCTGGAGGGATTTCTGTCTTTAAAATACCTCTAAGGAAGAATTCTTTGGGGTCTTCTTTTAATAAAGGACCTTTTTGAAATGCTCTCACTTATAAAAGACACTTAGAAGATTTTCAAAGGGTATCTCCAGAACTGCCCTACATATATTCTTTAAAATAGATTTTATATTGAAAAATTCTTAAAAGCGTTCGATCCTCCAAAAAATGCCTCACGAAAGTTTTCTATTCAAAAATAACACCTTTAATGCTTCATTCCTAAAGAGACTTTACATATTCTACCAAAAGGCTTTTATTCATAGAAATTTACCTTGAAAATACTATCCAAAAAACATATTAATGGTTCTCCATGTATGGAAGAACTATAGAACATCGTCCATCTACAAAAAGACATATAGAAAGGTTAGGCTTTATAGCCTTGTTTGAAAAAATTCTTCAAAATGTCTTTAGAAAGCCTTCATTAAAAAGGATTCAAAGTCATAAAAAAATTACAGTTTTATTCTTCATAGAATAGCTATAGAAGGTTTGTCGTCTATAGAAGTATCTCTGCAAAGACCCAAAAAAACAGGTCTTATATGCAAAAAAAGAAAATACATCTCGAATGACTTCTTTTTAATAAATATATAAACATAAATAAATCGTCAGAATACCTCTAACTTAAGTGCCTTCTAATTTTATTTTTGAATCCATAGAATATCTTTTGAGGGATTTCTTTGGTAATTTAAGTCTACAGAAAGACATATATCCATAGTGTAATAAGGAGGAAGAACAGCTTCGTAAAACTACAGAAATACAGCCCTGAGGCTATGCCCGCTTCCTGTCAGACTCATTCAAAATTATATGCAACAAGTTGTTTTCATTTATTTGATATTTTTCCTCATTTTTTAAAATGAGTTAAAATTTGCGAAAAATTAATGAAATGTGTCTATTTTCTTTCAAAAAGAACCATCCAAATTGTTCAATTTTTGAATTCCTTGACGCAACTGGTTAATATTTGTAAAGCACGTCCAGCAATGTATGTATCTTTCAATAACTGATTATGAAAATAATTTGTTTTCATTTTTCAAAACAATAAATACATACACAAAATTGGCAGGAGTCGGGCACACTTAGAAAAAAATTGTAATCAGCTGGTAGATCTACCTTATCCTTTTATTGTACCATGCATATATCGACCCTAAAGTTTTGCTATCTATGAGGCATCTACAAAACTCTTTGGATAAAAAATAATTTCCGTTTTTGTTATTAATTATATATATTTCATATTTATTTATCATTATATCATTATTATTATTTTTTTTATTCATTTTTTTTTTAATTTTATTCATAATGGTGATGATGGCTTCTCTTCTCTTTCGATTTTTTTGTTTCTTGTATATTTTACAAACTATAAATGCTTATCTGGTAACTGCATGTTTATGGTCAGCGTTTGGTTTTACAGAAAAAATACGCCTTGTTTCCTACTTATTCGAGTTTTTCTATTTTTTTAAAAAATCCAAGGACATGCGGATGAGTGTCTGTGTGGGTGTGATGAGAGGGGGGAAATCAATTACTAAAATTAAATATGTACAGTGGAAAGATAGTTGAGGGAGGGCGGGAAGAGATTTGAATACTGCTAAAAGACTACTCGTTTGTGGTTTTCGTTAAGATTTACAGATTTTCGTTTTGTTTAAAAATTAAATAAATTTATGGCTGTGATTTAAAAATTGTTGTTGTTTATCTTATAAATATAAAAATTGCTTTAATTAAAATTTTCATATCGATTTGCTTTTCTTTTTCATTATTAGAAAAAAAAACACAACTTACAGAAAGTCACAAGTGTTGTACACTTAATCTTAAGTAAAAATAATGGGGGGGGTTTTACAAAATAAAGAGGTTTCATTGATTTTTTTTTACACAAACTTAACTTAGAAACTAAGATATTGTTTATATTTTCTTATTGTTTTAATTTTAATAAATAATTATCGTTTTAATTACTAGCTTTTTAATGCTTAAAAATTACTAATTTAATTTATCAATCTATTCGTTCGTTTCTGTTCTCATGAGGCAGTATAAAAAAAGACTTAAGTAATTTTTGGCTTTTCAATGAATTTGTTTGAATGAATGCTGGCATGAATGACAAAAAAAATGTTGCTTTTATTGTGAATCCCTTTTGGGGGGAGGGGAATTACTTGTCCAGACTTTGTATGGCCTTGCTCAGGGCCGAGCCCAGTTGGCTAAATGAGGGCCTCTCCTTGGGATTGTGGTTCCAGCAGGAGGTCTAAAATAAAAGAAAAAGAAAAATTAAAAAATTATGCTCCCCCAATCTCTTTTTCATTGCAAAAACCTACCAATATCTCTTTGAGACACTCCGGTGTACCCTCGGCACACTGCCACTCCAATTTTTGGGCCTGACTCCTCTGTATCACTTCTTCGTTGCTTAATTCCTCGAACGGCATTTTGGTGGCCTGTGTAAACAGCTCCCATACCACTACACCAAAGGCATAGATATCACTCTTGGTGGTGTACTCATCCTCCTGAATGCATTCGGGCGCCAGCCATCTAATGGGCAATAGGGTATTGCGATGCTTGAAATATTCACGACTGTATTTGTCTTTGCACAGGGCCGGATATGAAACCTTGACAATGAAATCACTGGAAATAATGCAGTTGCGGGTGGCCAAATCTCTGTGAAGAGAGGTACAAATATTTTTCATTAATATATTGAGTTAGTCGAAGGAGATTAAGTTTCGAACTTACTTGTGTATAAATCTTGCACGATATATGGCATCCATGCCGCGAGCAATTTGATATGCCACAGCCAAAACTTGTCCCGTCAGCAGAGGTGGTGGTGAGGAGGAATTTGTCGAAGTATTCACTTTACCAGCAGTGGCCAAAAGGAATTGCTTGAGATCGCCCTGAAAAATAGAGAAAATAAGGATAAAAAAATATGAAAATGAAAGAAAAAGGGGTCAACTTCATATAGAGGTTCTGGAAATCAAAAAAAAAAAATGGGGTAAAACATAAAAGTCCGTAAAAAGACCTCATGGGCCATAAAAAGATGGCTGTTGAGAAATAGGGCCTATCGAGTTTAGACAGGATCAATGACGATTTTAAAGGATGAAATAAAAGGACGCAGAGTTCCTGGGGATAAGAATAAAACATTGAGGTCTACAAGAAGACTGGTGGAACAAAAAGAGTGAAGCTATTGGTACCTAGTGACCCACAAAGGGGCTTGAGACCTTTGCAGAAGCCTAGACAATCTAAAAACAAACTATGAGGCTACAAGGACTGTAAGATCTAAAAAACAATCTTGGATGTCAATAAACCAGACTTTAAGAAAAATGAAATACGGTTACAATAAAAAAGTCCTCGAGAGCTAATATGCAAGGAAAAAGTTCCTAAAGACCCTATTTAAATGGAGAGCCTATTCTTTTTTTCAGATTTTTTCAAAGCCCTTTTAGAAGCGAGAACATAAGCTACCTGAAGACAAGATATCAAAGAAATAAGACCCCATTTAAATGAAGGGCCTAGAAGAAATTATCAGATTTTTTCAAAGTCTATTACAAGACCGAAAACACAAGCAAAAATAAGGCAAGAAGGCAAAGAACTAGTCTACAGTAGGTCTATATTAGGTGCAGACCTCTTCCATCTTTAGAAACCTCTTTGAGGGTCTTTAAAAACCCCATTGGGTTGGACTTCTTTCCGTAAAAACGTAAAAGCATTAGGAGGTTCTTTTGATAGAAGACTCCTATATCTACAAAATGCAGTCGGAACCACTTCTACTTATAGAAAACACTCTGGGGCCTTTTTTATATTAAGCTCCTTAGGAGGTCTGCCATTTATAGAAAGGTCTCTGAAAGTCTTCCTTTTAGTAGAAAGGACTCTGGAAGTCTCATAATTTGATAAATCCTCTGGAGGTATTCCGATTTTTTGAACTTCCGTACGGTCTTCTATTTGTAGAAAGCTCTCTGGAGGTCTTCTAATTAATAAAAAGCTCCCTGAAGGACTTCTCATTACGGAAAGCTTTCTGAAAAAATCAGATTTTTTCAAAGTTCATTAAAGGTTCGATAACACGAGCTACAAGAAGGCAATTGATTCACAAAATGCTATCTGGCGACTTCTACTTTTAGAAAGCTCTCTGTCGTCTTCTTTTTATATAAAGCTCCTTAAGAGTTCTTCCATTTATAGATAGGTCTCGGAAGGTCTTCCTTTTATTAGAGAGGTCTCTGAAGGTCTTATGATTACAGAAAGCTATCTAAATGTCTTCGCTTTGTTAGAAGGGACTTTGGGTGTCTTCTAATTACAGAAAACTTATTGGAAGACTTCCATTGATAGAAAGCTCTATGGGGGTCTTCTGATTACTGAAAGCTCTCTGGAGGCCTTCTTCTTTCTTAAGTGGTCTTCTATCCATATATCTCCCTTAAAAGATCTTCTTTGTTTAGAAGTCCCTTAGCGGATATTTAGTCGTAAAAGCTCAGTACGATATCTGGAAAAAAATCTTTAAAAGTCTTCTACCATACACGCTCCTTAGGTGGACTTTTATTCATAGAAGTCCTCTGATAGGTATTCTTTCTATAGAAACCTTTTAGGAGATATTTTATCATATAATCCAGTAAAGGATCTTCTTTTCATAAAAGCTCCGTAGGAGGTGTTCTATCTTTTGAACCTCCTAAGACAGCATTCAATCATAAAAGCTCCTTAAGAGAGGTCTTCTAATCGTCAAAATAATTTGCATCCATAACAGCCCATCAGAGCTTCTCAGAAGCAATTTTATGTTTAGAAGCCCCAGGAGAGATCTTCCAATATAGAAGACTTTTAGAACCTATTCTGTCCGTAGAAGCCCCTGTAAAGATATTTTTCTACAAAAGATGTAAAAGCTCCTTAGAAGGTCTAATATCCACAGAAGCTCCTGATAAAACTTTCTAAATTTTCTCCAGAGAGAATGTTCCTCTTTTACTTACCCAATCCGTGTACTCCAAGACCATGTAATGTGGATCCTTCTCCCGGCACAAGCCAAACAACCGCACAACACCCTTATGCGTCAGCGTGCGGAACATTTCAATTTGTCGTCGGAACTCCTGGCATGCCGTCTCATCCTTGATTTTATTCAAAGCCTTGACCATAACCAATTTATATTCATCCGAATTGCCATTGGCGTTCGGCTCATTATCACTGCTACAGGTTTCCTGTTCCTCCTTGATTTCCTCAATGTCATCCATGGATGTTTTCGAACGCCGTTTTTCCACTGTGGTCGAGGTGGTGGCTGCCGAACCATTGCCATTGTCACTATTGCTATTCTTCTCCGTGTCGGTGTCCTTGTCATCAACGGATGTTTTAATGAGTGACGTCTTTATTTTGCCCACAAAGACATCACCAAATTCACCGCGACCCACCTGGAGCAGTTCGGTGATACCGGATCGAGGGAAGCTTAACTGATCATAGACATTGGATTTTTTGGAAGTCTTGGAATGATTGCTGCAGGCTGTGTCATCGGATTTCTGGGCATCATTGCCACCATTTGCCTTTGGATTGTTGTTGCCATTGGCCTTGCGTACCTTTGCGGTTTTCGATTCGGATAGGCAGGGTTCATTTTCGGCATTCTTTTCACCTTCACCGGCCTCGGGATTGTCACGGCCCTCATTTAGTCTAGCCTTGCGGGCCTGGCGCCTATAACGGCACCAGATCATTAGACCCACCACCAAAATTATGTAGGCAAAGGCCACCGACATGGTTATCAAGACGGCCCGGGTAATGAGGAAACCTTCCTGGGGCTCGGCCTCACCGTCGCCATTGACTGTAAAGAAAAAAAGCAAAGGATTTGATGAGGATTTTTTTTGGAATATTTTGTGGCCACTCACCTTTGACAATAAATCTCACTTCTTCACGCTTCAGCCCCGCACTGTTGCCAATGGTACAGCCATAGCTACCCTCATCCTCCGGCTGGACATTTGTGATTTGCAGGGTGCCATTTTCCAGAAAGTGGAAACGTGTGCGGTCAGTGTTGTTCTCACTCAGATACTGCAAATCCTTGTCCCATTGTATGGTAGGTTTGGGATCACCCGTGGCCTGGCAATGCATCAATGCCACATCGGACTCCGAACTTTCAATGGGACCCTCGGGGGCCACCAGGAAACGGGGGGCGACCACAACATTAATGCTGACAGTGGCATTTATTTGTCCTTGGGAGTTGAGGGCGACACAAGTGTAGTTGCCACGATGTTCGGCAGTAACATTTTTAAAAGTCAAAGTGCCATTAATGTCCTCCAATGTATCTGGCAAGTCATCCTTGAGATCCTGTGTGAGAAGAGGGGGCGAGAGAAATTGAGATGGTTAGCAAGTGAGCAAATTTATAATAATAAAACTACTTGGGAAAGTTTTTTTATGAGACCCCCACCCCAATTGCCTCTCCTTCCTACCCAACAATGCCACAGACAATGGCCAACAACGAGCCGGAAACAAACTCCTAGTTAATAAACTGACCCATTCTGCACCCAGCCAGCCAACCTACCATCCGACCACTCGTCTACCCAGCCAACCGTCATGGTTCTATGGTTTCCCATTGTAATGCTGCTGCGAGTGTTTCTGCCTGCGGGACATCAAACACTTCCCAGCCATTGTCGTCGTTGTTGGTGTTGCTGGTTGGTCATTGACTTGTTTTATTTGTTGTTACGAACAATAACACCAACAGCAACACGAACACCAAAAAAAACAAATTTCCTCTCCATAAGTTTAGAAGCACACTTCAGCAGCCAGTCAGCCAGCTAGCTCTCCAACCCACCGATATTTGCCAATGCAACGTTGACTTTTTCCCAGTCTAAGCTCTTTAAAGTATTTATCTTGAAAATTGTAGTAGTGTTCAAATAAAAAAACTAATTCTGGGCCATTTCTTGTCCCATCCTCTCGCTACGCAAACTTTGTTTGTTGTAGTTGGGCTATTTTATGCATCGTTTTCTTTCTCCGGACTCCAACTATTTTTTTCCTTTCTTTTTTTGTTTTTGTTTAGTTACTGTTCCCCTCGAGTTATTTCTGGATAGTTGGTCAATTGCACAGTGGCTCAAAGGAGGAAAAAAGGGAGAAGGAGAGAATTTTTAAAAACCTGCAATTATTCTCTTGAAACCTTCAGCTTCTAAAGAAGCTCCTTGGAGGCCTTCTTAATATAGCAGCACCTGAAGAAATCTTTCATCTAAATCTGAAGAAATCTTTCATCTATAGACCCTTGAGAGGTCTTCTACCAAAAGATGGTATTATACATAAGAAAGCCCCTTAGGAGGTCTTCTCATGAAGCAAACCTTAAAAATTGAAGAAGCTCGCATCCATTTACTGATGCCCCCTTACCTTTTAAGCAAACAATACGTCTTCTATCTTGAGAAGGTCTTATATCATTAGAATGTCATTGAAATCTCTTCTAGACCCTAAGGAGGTCTTGCAATTGGGAGAGGTCCCAGAAAAAGAAAATTAAAGGATTCATCTGACATCAATGATAGCCTTTAGGAATTACTTTAACCCCTAGAACCCTCTTTGGAAACGAATTATCTAATCAGGTCTTTCATCTATAAGAGCTCCTAAGCAGGACTTATATTTCCATGAGGTCCACGAGAGCTTTTCAAGTACCCCAAAAGATCCTATTCAGGATAAGATCTCCCGAAGGCTTTCATTACAAAAATGTCTTACATTCTTAGAAACGAATTATCTAATCAGGTCTTTCATCTATAAGAGCTCCTAAGCAGGACTTCTATTTCCATGAGGTCCTCGAGAGCTTTTAAAGTATCCTAAAGGATCTTATGTTAGGATAAGATTTGCCGATGGTTTTCATCACATAAATGTCTTACATCCAAAGAAGCTCCTTAGGCGGTGGTGTAAGAACTCAAGGAAATTCTTCCTAAGTATGGCCTCTGGAGGTCTTCTATCCATAGCAGCTCCTTGGATGGCTTTTATGAAGTCTTCCTTCATAAGAAGAGCCTTAGAACCCCTTAAAGAGGTATTTAAATTCTATAAAGAACTCAAAGCTTTTCGAGACTCCTAAGACGTTCTAAATGTAGTCTTAGGAGGACGTTTTGTTGTTTCTAATTATGGCCTCTTCGAGGTCTTCTACCCCAAGCAGCTCCTTGGAAGGCTTTTATGAATTCTTCCATTTAAAGAAAAGCCTTAGAATCCTTTAAAAAGGTATTCAAATTCTATAAAGACCTCAAAGCTTATCGAGACTTCTTAGACGTCCTAGAAGTAGTATTAGGAGGTCGTTTCGTTCAAAAAAAGGCCTTGAAAAGGTCTTACATCTATAGAAACTCTCAGAAAGTCTTCTACTTACAAAATGTAGAAGGACGTTAGCCTCCTGGGGTCACCTAGAGCTTTCTAAGGAAGATCTTATAACATGAAAAGATCTCTGAAAGTGTTTCATCAAGAGAAGACCCTCAAGAGGTGCTACATCCATGGAAAGCTTCAGAAAATCTTCTATCTAAAAAAATGTCATCAGGAGATATTCTATCAATTAAATCCGATAAGGAGGTCTTTTAGAAGGTCTTATATAAAAGCTCATTAGGAGGTTTAACTGTAAAAGAACTTAAGTCTCGTGCCCAACTATGGCCTTCAGGAGGTATTTTATCCATATAAGCACCTCCAAAGGCCTTTAAAGAGTCTTCCATATAAAGATGTCTCTAAGGAGGTCCTCCGTAAAAAAGTCAATAAGGAGGTAGTTACAAGTCTTTCTCAATGACTCAATGACTTTCTTAGAGACATCTTTATATGCAAGACCTTTTAAAGGGTCCTCGAAAGCCTTTCTAGACTCCTTAGAGTACGAATATCTGGAGAACTTCTGCGGAAGGCCCTCAAAAGGTCAAACATCCACAGAAACCAGCGGGAGGTACCCTATCTAAATCAAATTTCCACCGATATTTTAGAAGCTTTAATATCTATGAAAGCTCCTTGGGACTTTTATAACTGATGAGGGCCATTTGGAGGTTTTCTATCGATAGAAGCCCAATCGGAGGCCTTTTTAAGGTCTTTCGAGCAAAGTATTCCCCAAGGACACGTTCGATCTAATGGACTCTCCAAATGAGGTGTTATATTTCCAGAAGACCCTCAAAAGCTTTTCTAGACTCCAAAGAGATCTTATATCAAAAAGAGGTATCAACAGGTTTATCTTTCTTTAAAAGAAAGACTTACACCCATAGAAAACCTCGAAAGGTACTCTATCTGAAAAAAAAAAATATGAGGTATTTTAGAAGGTTTTTTATCTATAGAATACGAAGCTTCTATAGATATAAGAACTTCTAAAAGACCCCATTCATAGAAGATCTTCTGAAGTCTTTTATCTGTAAATGAGCTTCAGAGGGTCGTTTATCAATGAAAGAGCTTTGGACTCTATTTAAAATATAGATGAGCTTTTGGCAATCATCTTTTAATAAAAGAGCTTTTGGAGGTATTCTTTCTACAGGAGAGCTTCAGGAGGCTTTTAATCTATAGGAGAGATTAAATACGTTTTATGTCTAGTAAAGAACGTTTGGAAGTCTTCACTCTATAGAAGGGCTCCAGAAGAAATTCTATCAACAAAGTACCTTGGAAGGGCCGTTAATCTATAGAAGAACCTCATAAGCCTTCTCTCTATAAAAGAGCTTTGAAGGGCGTTATATTTATACAAGATCCGCAAAAAGTCATGGAAAAGCTTTTTGATCACCAGAAGAGCTTTATGATGTCAACTAGCTATAACAGACATTTAGGAGTATTCTATCTATAGAAGAGCCTAAGAAGACCTTCTAAATGTAAAAAAGCTTTGAAAGACCTGTATGTATGGTGATGAAGGTTTAGAAGTCTTTATCTCCTTAGAAGAGCCTTTGCAAGCCTTCTATATATAATAGAAGAGCTTTAGAAGGTCATCTGTTTACAGAAGAGCTTCAAAACTCATCGACCATTAGAAAAGCTTTAGGCGGTATTCTACCATCGAATTGAATTATTTTATCTTTAGGAGACCTTTCGGGGAGGTCTTATATCCGGAGAAGTCCTCAGCAGTAAACCCATCAAATATTTAAGCTTTTAAGTTTGGGGATTGAAGCTACCTACAAATAATGAAACTTCTGAAAATGTTCCATTGATGAAGTTCCCTCAAAATAAAATCGCAAAAATAGATAGAGAAGAGATGGTAATGCCTCCAAAAGCTTTTCTGTAGAAAGAAGCTCTTTATAACATATACTATAGGTAGACGAGCTTCTGTAGCTCTACTACATATGTAAGATCTCTTAAAGCTTTTCCTTTTTCTCCTCTTCCACTTCCCCCACTGTTCCAAAGTAACTTCAACATTTCTCTTTTTTCACCAAAAACTAACTGCCCAACTTTTCCCATCTTTATTATCTCTTCCTTTATCCATCTCTCTTCTCACCTTGTTTTTCACATAATTACCCCTAAGCCACTGTGTCTTAACACTGCACCTGCTGCCTGACAACTTGGCTATTGCCAACTAAGTCGCCTTTAATCTTCACCCCAAACAAAAAAAAAATAAAAAATAAATAGCAACACCAAACAAGGAAACATAAACCTAGCAATGGCCATCAATGGAATGCCAATCGAACACAAGAGGAGAAGAGGAAGAGAGAAGGAGAGGGGGGAAACATAGAAACTCTCAACTTACCTTAAGCCATTTCACTTGGGGTGTTGGCGTGCCCTGGGCCTTGCAATGTACCTTGCCCACCGAACCTAATTCCAAATTCTTCGAAGTAGGCTGTGGCATGAATTTCAATTGTTCGATGACTTGCAGTTCGCCCGGTTCCGAGGTGACAGAGCGATAACCTTCCACCACCACCTGGCAGACATATTGGCCAGCATCGCTGGCTACAACACTTGAGAAGACCAATGAACCATTGTCTTTGGCAATGGATACGCGTGTATCCTCGCCCCTTAACATCGGGTCCTTGTTGGCATCCAGAGAACGCTGTGACATCGATGACGTTGCCCCATTCACTTCTATTTGCCGGATAATTTTGCCATCCTTACGCCAACGCAGCAACACTTCATTCACTGCATCTGCAATCTTCAAATATTTCTCCGGTATCGAATATTGACAGTACAACTCCGTCGCTTCGTTCTCCTTGACAGTGACACGTTTCTGGGGCTGTTGGGTTATTTGCACATCCACAGGAAAGGGTAATTTATCTTCCGCACCATGTGCGGAATCGCCACCTCTTTTGCCGCGACACAAGAACATGTCCTTCATACCATCCGGTATTATGTAGTTCTTTTTAAGACGCGGCAAACAATTTGTCGACTCCTTGACACTGGACCATTTGAGAATGTAACCCTTGCGACTCATCACCCGTCCGGCGGCATTTGAGGCAATGCAGCGATATAGGCCAGTATCTTGACCGGTGGGATTGCGTATGACCAAACGATTCTCAATCAGTTCAATATTTTTGATGCTACTCAGCTTTTCACTGTTGCGGAACCATTCGATTTCCAGCAGGCCATCACCGGATGAGGCTTCTACATGGCATTTCAGGATGACTTCGTGTTGATAGTTGGCCAGTAGTTGGACATTGGCAGTTTGAATCCCTGGAAGAAAAGAAATGGATAAAATGGAAATTATTAATAAGTCTAAATGAGAGGTGACATATATACACACACACATAGATATTATATAGTATTATATAGTATATTCTGAACCCTTGCAGAAATTTATAATAAGAAGATTTGCCATAAAATATGCCACAGATAGAAGAGCTCTTGATGGCCTTGTATGGATATGGAGACCAGTTTCTGATGCTCTCCTATAAAAACAAGGTTCATTGAAGTTTTTTAAAGACCTTCAAAACCTCTTCTATAGATAACAGTCCCCTGAAGCCCTCTTGTAGGTTCTATGTTCCTAAAAGCTTTTTATTTATAAACGACTTCCCAAAGATCTACTATTGACAGAAGGCTCACAAAAGCTCTCACATAGATAGGACGCTTCTTAAAGTTCTTTTGGAACGTCGTATAAAGCTTTTTCATAAACGGAAGACCTTTTGAAGACAGGAGGTCTTCTAAAGCTCTTTTATAAATAGAAACCCTATAAACGCTTTTCTATAGGTAGAACGCTTTTCGAAGTTCTTCTATAGATACAAAGCTTCCAGAAACTGTTCTCTAAAAAGGACTCCTCTAAAAGCTTTTTCTTAGACAGTTGAGCTTTTAAAGCTATTTTTGAGTTTCTGCAGCTCTCCCTTAGATATTAGGTCTCCTTAAGCTCTTTTGTGTATAAGAGACCTTTTCTATACATATAAGGTCTTTAAAAGCTTTTCTAAAGAGACAAGGCTTCCAAAAGTTATTCAATAGGTAGAAAGCCTTCTGGAGGTCTTCTGAATCTTGTTCAAAGACTCAAAGCCTCCTATAGCTTACCTGTGTATAGAAGGACTTTTGAAGCTCTTCTATGGTAACAATACTTCCAAATACTCTGAATCTTTTTCATAGAATCAAGGCCTCCTGAATCTTACATGTGTATAGAAGGCCTTCTGAAGCTCTTATATAGTAAAAATATTCTTAAAAACTCTTCGACAAATAAAAGCTCAAAAGCTCTTCCATTGGTAAGAGACCTACTGAAGATTTTTTGCAGATGTAATACCCTCTGAAGCCTTCTGAAGCTCTTCTTTGTGAGGTAGGTCTTCTGTAGCTCTTTTATAGCCTAAAGAACTCCTGAAGCTTTTCTTTGGTAAAAAAATAGCTTCCGAAAGCTCTTCAATAGATAACATACCGCCAAAAGCTTTTCCATCTATATATAACCTCCCGAAGCTCTATTGTGGATAGAAGATCCTCTGAAACTTTTCTAAAGGTTTTCCTTAGCCGAAGGACCTTCCAAAAATCTTCTATAAATATAAGACCTACATAAGCTTTTGTCCTTTAGAGCTTTATAAGCTGTTTCATCGATATAGGGCCTCCCGAAGCTCTATTACAGATAGAAACCCCTCTGAAGCTCTTTTATGTATAAAAGGACTTCTAAAGCTCTTCCTTAACCGAAAGCCCTTGCAAAATCTTCTATGAGTATAAGACCTACAGAAGCTTTTGATCTTTAGAGCTTAAGAAGCTCTTTCATCGATAAAGGACCTTCCAAGGATCTATTACACATAGAAGACCCTCCGAAGCTTTTCCATATATAAAAGAACTTCTAAAGCTTTTCCTTAGATGAAAAACTTTCCAAAAATCTTCTAAAAAGTAAGACCTACAGAAGCTTTTAACCTTTAGAGCTTTAAGAACTTATTTGGCGGTAGAAGGCCTTCTTGAAAACTTTGGTAGATAAAATTAATTTTGTCTTTTTCTATCGATAAAAATTGTTCTAAAGCGGTTGAAGGAAAATAAACTTCTGAAGCTATCAACAGGGAGGTATGTCGAAGCTTTTCAGAGATGGAAGACCTCCCGAAACTTTCATGAAGATAAAAATGTCTTCTAAAGAGTTTCTTTAGATAGAAGAATTATTCATGACCTATTAGAGATAGAAGAACTTCCATAGGAATAATATTTCTGGTAGATTTTCTATATATCCAAGACCTATTTAATCTTATCTATGAAGAGAAGGCATCGAGGTGACAGGCTCTCTTATTTATTATAAACTCTCTTATTTATAAATAGCTGTTTTATTTAAAATAAGCTCTCTGATTTATATAAAAAAACACTACGAGAATCTCCCGTAAGACTTATTTGGCTTAAAAAAAACTTCGAGAATCTCCTGTAAGACTTTTTTGGATCGAACAGCTCCTGAAACTTTTCTGTGGTAGAGAAATATTTCCTTTTTTCCCATATAGATCCTACTCCATACAAAAAACCCCTCCCTATGATTATTTATGCCTACTTAAAGCTTTTCTAGGAAAAAGAAGAAATCCATGAACTCTTCTGTGAATAAATTATCTTTGAATGTTTCCCTAGAGAAGAAGGTATCTTGAAGTTCTTCTTCAATATTCGAAAACCCTTCTTAGAACACATTGCTCCCAAAGCTCTTCCATTGAGGGAAGCTTTTCTGAGTCTTTTCTACCTGTATTAAGGTTTGAATGAACTCTCCTTATGAATATTTATGTTTGCCTGAAGTAATCCATATCCCCCCTCCCCATATTTACTGGCAGTTATCCGGCTTATATTGTTCTGTTGTTGTTGCTGGTGTTATTGCTCCTGCCTGAGCAACAACAACAACAACGACCAGGAACATTTTTAGCCCTCTTGAGTAGATTTTAAAGCTTTAGAATTCAGCTTGAATTTTTTTCTTGCAATTTTTTTAAGGAGAAGAGAAGAGGAGTTGCTTGCCAGCAATTACAGCAACAACAACAACGCTAACACATTCGTGTGAATGCACAACAACAACAAAAACAAAATTATTTAAGCGTACAATAAATTGCACTTAATGCATTTCCATAACAATCGCAAATGTCATGAATGCCAGCCATTGAAAATAGTCAGGCAGCCAGGCAGCCTGGTCGCTTGCCATGCAGCAGCAAACAAATAACGCTCCATACCGTGTGCCCAGCCAGAGTTGTTGTGACTTGCTGCAGGCGAAAATTTCATTTATTGGAAAACACAAAACTCAAGAATGTGTTAAGGCAGGCAGGGCTACCCAAGAGGTGGTGGGGAGAGGAAGGGGAGGGGCTTTGGAGGGTTTGGAGTGCAGAAGGCAAACAAAAAAAGTTGCACCACATTGCAAACAAAATCCATTCAGCAAAGATTATGATGAGGTTGATGAGGCTGCTGATGGTAATGGCGATGGTGATGGCAACGATGATGGAGCATGGAAAAATGAATCTAGGAGTAGCTAGGCAGTTTTGTTACGAAAGTAATCTGCAAACTAACAAACATGAATGTAACATGCAGGCATTTGTTGGTGTTGTTGTTGTATTTTAATGATGGTGATGATGCACCAAGGCAGGCTGGCAGGCTGCAGAGCACTGCATTGCACTGCAATGCTCCTCGGATTTGTTTGGTTTTTGGTACCTTAAAATGACATGTGCCAGCTACCATTGTTTATGTGGAACAAGAACAAATGGAGAAAAAAAGTAATTTAGAAAATAAAATGTTGAAATGTGGTTTTTCTTTTTTGGAGGGAGGGGGGGGGGAGGAGGAAAAAAAAAGCAAGTAAAAAAACATTAAGTTCGGCCGGGCCAAACTTTTAATACCCTCCACCTTAGGGTAAAGGAAACATAAGAAGAAATGTGGCAAAAACCATTAAAATGCCGAATATCGGGAGGTACCGTTATATGGAGGCTGGTCCCATACATGCAATGTTTCGTCACCGGAGCTGGAACCCATTATGACCTACAAATACCAATTTTTAGACAAATCCGTGAACAAATGTGGCATAAATCATCAAAATACCGAATATCGGGAGGTACCTTTATATGGGGGCTATACCAAAACGTGGACCTATACATGCAATGTTTTGCCACACGCACAGGGACTCGTTATGACCTACAAATACCAATTTTCAGACAAATCCGTGAAAAAATGTGGCATAAATCATCAAAATACCGAATATCGGGAGGTACCTTTATATGGGGGCTATACCAAAACGTGGATCTATACATGCAATGTTTCGCCACCGGAGCTGGAACCCATTATGACCAACAAATACCAATTTCTAGACAAATCCGTGCAAAAATGTGGTAAAAACCATCAAAATACCGAACATCGGGAGGTACCATTATATGGGGGCTATACCAAAACGTGGACCTATACATGCAATGTTTTGCCACACGCACAAGGACTCGTTATGACCTACAAAAACCAATTTTCAGACAAATCCGTGAAAAAATGTGGCATAAATCATCAAAATACCGAATATCGGGAGGTACTTTTATATGGGGCCTATACCAAATCGTGAACCTACACATTCAATGTTTCGCCACCGGAGCTGGATCCCATTATGACCTACAAATACCAATTTTCAGACAAATCCGTGAAAAAATGTGGCGAAAATAATCAAAATACCGAATATCGGGAGGTAGCGTTATATGGGGGCTATACCAAATCGTGGACCCATACGTGCAATGTTTTGTCACACGCACAGGGACTCGTTATGACCTACAAATACCAATTTTCAGACAAATCCGTGAAAAAAATGTTGCATAAATCATCAAAATACCGAATATCGGGAGGTACCTTTATATGGGGACTATACCAAAACGTGGACCTATACATGCAATATTTTGCCACACGCACAGGGACTCGTTATGACCTACAAATACCAATTTGCAGACAAATCCGTGAAAAAATGTGGCATAAATCATCAAAATACCGAATATCGGGAGGTACCTTTATATGGGGACTATACCAGAACGTGGACCGATATATCTCATTTTCAATACCAACCATCCTAGACACAATAACAATTGCTCTGCTAAATTTTGGCGCTCTACGTCAAATAATGTGGGCTGTATCGTGATTTCAACAGACGGACAGACAGATAGACAGACGGGCAGACAGACGGACATCGTTAAATCGACTTAGAATTTTATGCTGATTATGAATATATACTTTATGGGGTCTACGACGAATATTTACGGATGTTACAAACGGAATGACAAATTTACTATACCCTCCTTTCC